GACATCACTGTTACAGGATCGCTTTAAAAACCATTTTTTTTCAATTAGACCTTCTTCACGTACTGACAATATATTCATATCAAAATCGGCTTTGTATTCCCAATCTTTTTTCATGGCAATACCAAACCATGATTTAGCAAACCCGACACCAACTAACGACAAACGACCACAATAGTTTCGATCGATTACATATTGAAGCGCTGCACCCTCAAATAGTGCGGCATCGATGCGATTTTCGATCAGAGCCAAATAAATATCTTGTGGATTTTCAAGACGATAATAAACATCTGACACATTCTGGATATAATAGTCGATAATAGATGTATTTTTCACAATTCCGACACGATGGAAAGGTAAACGGCCATTTTTGATATCATCAATGCCGGAAATAGGTGGATTAGTACGTCGCACTGTAAGAAACGATGCTAAATCGGCTGTGTATATAGCCATAAGTATGCAACTTAATGCAAGCAAGGCAACTGATATCATTTGGCTTGATGTTGATCTGAATTTAACATCATCACCAATTCCGACAATTCTACGTAGAGCGCGATATATTCCAAAGATCATCGCACGGAATTCTTTTTGTTGTTCTCCTTCCTCTTGTTCATTCTCTTCTCTCTCAAATACATAGACAAGCAAGCCCGATAATAAGATTACACCGACAATTGAGAGCCAAACGTAAAGTGAGAATGGACTCAGATAAGAGAAAAAACTGATATTATACGATGGACTCTCGCGGACAATAATTCGCATGGTGTCCTCAAAAATGGGTAATGAAAAATCAACAATTCCAAGACGATTCGAGGTAATTGCTATGTCCGAAATGGCAATATCCCAACTTTCGTTCTGCGAAACAGATTCGACCATGCCAGCATAAGTTGTGTTCAATGGGGCTACAACGATTTTTGCCTTAAAATACATGTTTTCTTCAAGATGATGAATTAAATCAGCTGCATAACCATATATTTTAACGTTTTCATCTTGAGTATCGAGCAGCTTGGCATCCGATGGCTTTTCCGACATTGATGACTTATTCCAAATCATGACATACGGCGGAGATTCAATTACATGAATGCGTAATGTCTCACCTAATAAGCGATTTTAAAGAAGTTTATCAGTACCAGAGTTCTGCAAGAGTACGACTTTTGGTTCTCTATCCTATCCTATACTTTGACAAGACATATTTTGCTGTTTAGTGTGAGATCTTACTATAATTTGGCTCTATCTTAATAATAAGATTTTATCTAGTTTTCATCTAATAATCTGCTCAATTTCATGTCCTGGAAGAAGAACATTTTCAGATTGTATGATGAATTTATTTAATTGTATCCTAATCCTAGCATAGAATAGATCAGAATAGAACTACATGACTCCAATCAGCATAGGTTCTAATGCAACAAAAACGTAGAATTCATACAGCTCCTTTTATCTCTAATAAATAAATACATCTAGATGTAAGCTTATCGTATTTCATATATAATGACACCAACTACAAGGAAGCAAGCTTCGAAACTTCTCTCTCTATATATATAGGTTCTGAAAGAAATCCCAATACTTGTTTTCGAAGTACTTTTATATGAGGAGTGTCCGTAAAGGAAGTGAATGGAGGCAGTACCAGAAAGTTTGATTTTATTTATACACACATATTTTCGTTTATGAGTTTTATCAAAGCAAATATATATTTGCGAATTTTTTAAAAAATGATACCTTGAATTTGGGGATAATCTTTCGGTATCTCTTCGGATCCATTTGGCCAAATAATTTGTTGTTGGATAATACTTTGCCAATTCTCATTTTCAACTTTAACTTCATCATGCCATTTCATTACTTGTACGAATCTGAGTTGTTCTTTGTTTTTATATTGCAAGTTTTCAAGTACATAATAGGCACCTCCAACACGATCATTTGAAACATTTTTTGAAAATTCTATGGGTCCAGATATGCCCAAAAATTGTGTTGCCTTTAAATACTCATGATATTTAGTGGCATTCTCCAATGAACTATTAAAACAATAGGATGATGAGAGAAACCAAGGTGATGGAGAAGATTTGCCATCGAGCGATGTTTTGTACAATGCTTGAATTAATGTCCATGTGGCATCAAAAGTAAACATAGCAAACGAACTGATATTGGATTCATTTCCAAGGTGACATTCAATTCCGTGTTCATTTTGTGAATTCTGAGAAGTGGCCAATGCAGCATTGAGCAACGTTTGATTATAATTCAATGATTGATGATCGCTGCTGCCGCTATCGCCTCCGAATGGAATTATAGCAAGAAGACCTTCAAGGTTTTTCTTAAATTCATTACTTTTGAGCATGTCCGGTGGAAACACACCGAAAGCAATCTTAGAAAATTCACAAAAAAATGTCAGTCGCGCGTAAATTTACATTACTTTAAACGGCTGATATTTTCATTCCAGTTATGGCATCTTCAACAGAAAACCTCCTAAAAACTCAAGCCACCATGGATACCTTTTTTTGAGATTCAACTTTTTATTTGACTTGGCAATTTGTTTTTTGAATTTCTCATTAATTATGAAGCATTCTTTAAAATTTCCTCATTTTATGAAGCCAGTATCTGCTCCGGGAAACATTTTTGAGCTTAGTCGGAATCTTTTTTTTTGACCTTTTTCTAATCTCAATTTGAACTATGTATGGGCAAGATATGAGGGAATAATCACCTTATTTGTTGTGATCCAAACGTATCGGGTACTGATGAGTCTTTCTTCAAATGCTCGTTTAATAATATTTGTCGTTTGTTGTTCATCTGCCCATAGAAGAACAATTCTTGATCGACTCGTTTCCAATGTTTGTTTTAAATCAGCATGAAATTTGTCTCCATCGAATAACAATTGTGCTTTGATTGTAATATTATTATGATAATTTTCCGATAATATTCTGAGTCCACCATAGCCATAATCACTTTTTTCAAAAATCATTGTACAGGTTTTCCATTTGAACTGTTTGAAAAGGTGAATGATAGCACGAGCAAGGAGAAGATCCGATGGAACAGTTCGATAGAATGTCGGATAGAGTTGTCTATCGGCGAGATCGATATTTGTTGCAGCATAGGAGACGAGTGGCAAATTAACATGAGAAGCAAATGGACTGATAAAACGAGCAGTGGTCGATGAATCCGGACCAACAATCCCAACAATGTTTGGGCGTTGAGTAGTGATATATTGGCAAAGGAGATTCAGTGAAGCATGGCCATTTTCATCATTATTTACTTGAATGACATTACTCGTTATACTCTCGTTATGAATGCGAATATTATATTGATTGGCGAGCATGATAGCAGCATGAAACATGGCTAAAGAATCGTGAGACCAAACATTTACATTCGTGTGATCGGCGTAAAGAGAGGCGGATTGTATTGAAGAAGGATGTATGTCAGTACTATTGTGAACATGTTTGAGGAAGAGACCGAGAATTTCAACACTCTCATTGAATGGAATTATAGAGAAAATGATCAACAGAAAAGTACGCATAGTCAATATTCAATCGGTATCTAAAACCTAAAAGCAGCAGGAAAAGTGACAAGATGGAATGCTAATTTGCAGCGTAGATTTTAGTTTGACAGATGTATGCCGGGAAACATGATTTAATGATAATGATAATAAATTGTATGCATGGTTATGGTATTCTCATAGAAAGGCGACATCGAGAAAAACTCAATTAAAGAAAAACATCAAACATCCATTCTCAATCTCAGTTGCCCTTCTTTTCTTCCACTGAAATGAGTGTAGGTACGAGTATGGGCCTCCTATTCGCTGACACCGTTTCCCTCTTCCCTCCAAACACACTCTAACTGATACTCAAGCATTAATCAGCGAAAACAGCTTCTATCCACTTAACTGACTTTATATTTCAGCGTAGAGACACCCGCGAAAATCTCGATTCATTCTCATGTCTGTGCATACATCGTACTTATATTTTTCTCACATCCAAAGCAGACTATTAGGTGATGGTATCAGTGTCACTGTAAGATGTGACTGCGACTATTGCTTTTAAACACACTAACACTTATCACAAGTAACGTTCGTCGGCCCGGCTCACTTGACCCTCGACTGTATCAGACAGAAGTATACAAGTGTCATCCATGGACACCCAGTTATGAAACAGCTGATTAAGGGAGAATTTATCACATATGTCGGATTGACTGAACTTTCAGTCTGAAAAATCGAAGTGGTTGACAGTTCAACATTAAAAGCACAAGAATCGAACGCTTAGCCAACGTTTTTTATGACGTTTCACCTTTCCCTCTGACAAAAACAGACGAAAATTTATTTTACTTCATATAACCCTTCCTACATTCGAGAAAAAATTATTTTCTCAAAAAACCGTTTCTCCTGAACCAAAAAAATTCAATTCAAAATTTTGACAAACTAACTTCAGATTCGGATTCTCCGACTCCGATTTACTTTCGTCAATCTTTATAAAATATCATTATTTTTTCAAAAAACCCTTTCCTCAACCCAAAAAACTCAATTCAAAATTTTGAAAAACTAACTTCAGATTCGGATTCTCTGACCTCGATTTACTTTCGTCAACCTTTATATAAAAGTTCACCTTTGATGTTTTTTTGACCTTGTGTTTTTTTGGCCCTGCGACAAGACGACAAACTTATTTTATTTCATATGACCCTCCCTACAGTCGAAGGAATATAGCTCTCAATACTCCTATGGCTATAGCTTTGTACCTATGGGTGCATCAATTGCAATTCTTGGAATTGACCGGGATTAGCTAGAATTGGAGGCAGTGGTGCATCTCTATTCTTGACTTATCTTGAGGAAAACGTTGATGTAGGAAAGCTAAACTCCAAATCAGGTAGTTAATTTTCAGAGAAAAATACAGATTTGAATTCCCCGATCTCAGTTACCTATGATGAAAGTTTGACCACTTGTTTTTTAGAAAAAAGTCTTTTTTTCTATTAAAAAAAAATCTTTTTGAGCGTAACAGATGGCTAGATAGTTTCGGTGATGTTATTCCGATTATATAATTATGGATCAGTCGATTATTTCATACAAACTTCTGACAGTGTTTTCATCTTTCAAAAAACTATCCCGATAATTGGTGTAAAAGTTCTAAGAAAATTTATGTTACCTAAATCTTCAAGTATTCTCTGTAAATAAGCTTGTTTCAAATGGACAAAAATATAGTAATGGGGAAAAGCTTTATTAGAAAAAAGCGTTTTTTTCATACATACAAACCGTAATAAAACATAAAGTGTTTGTATATATATATGTCGCGAAGTCAGAAATAAATCTAAAATGAAAAAGTACATATCACCGTTTGTCGAGGGTGTATATAGAGTTCTAGTTATACTAGAAGTTGCTTTATTTCCATTGAAGATTCAAGATACACATTTAACAACAATAACGATGATGATGACAAAGAGAGAAGAAAAAACAGCAAATAATGCTAAAAGAAATACGCAACCAATGAGAAAGAACGCAAACTTTCGTATATCGACAGCGAGAGAAATGAAAAAAAACGAATATACCGTATATGGTCTCGTACATTAGTACAGATCATAACATCGGCAGATCTAACTTTCAATATTCAATATATAGTAACCGCTAATTATAACAGAATACGCAGTGTTATTTATTGAAATCGGGTGCTTTTGTTTGTATACATATTTCTAGTAAGAGATTCTGCATATAAATTCAATTTTTCAAGCAAAAGAATTCTGGAAATTCAAATGAACCGCTGACAGCATATAGTCCTTTATAGTACCAATTCAAAGGCCATTTGATCAAGCTAACTGATCCTTTTTTTGCGTTTTAATAGAACTCTTCATTGAGAATCTTCTGCAAAAAAAGGAAAATTATACCGTTTATCTAAGCAAAGATATTCACACAATAAACTGTGTTTTTCAAATATTTGACATTTCAAAAAGTTGTTTTGAGTTTTTCTCAAAATGGTGATCAGACGGCGTATCTCCGGCGAAAGTCAACTACAATATGATATAAAGTCGAATATTTGTTTTGTTTGAAAGAGCATGACGAAATGCAGTGTCTATGAGAGCTCTTTTTTTTAAATAGGCTTTGCTTTCATTAGATCCAAAAGCGCCTTCTATATTAGAGCATCATTTTTGAGAGTATTTTTTACAGAAACCGAACTAGTCAGGGCCCTTTTTCATCTAAAATATAAGATTTAAAAAACAGGATCCTCATAGACACTGCATCCAAACATGCTCTTTCAGACAAAAATAATCAAGTATTTGGGCGTACTGCTCCATAGGATACCCCAATTTGCTTTCTTACTGTTATCAGTTAAATAACCTAATCATATTCGGGCCAAATTATCACCTTCATCGTTAAACTACTAAATTTAAAATATTAGCTGCTGACCACTGTCTTATATGAAATTATTCAGCCCCTTAAAAACGATAGGACACGATTTCAGGAGCTGAATAATTTCATATAAGATAGTGATTGGCAGCTAATATTTTAAATTTAGTAGTTTAACGATGAGGGTGACAATTTTGGCCCGAATATGATTAGATTATTTAACTGATAATAGTAAGAAAGCAAATTGGGGTATCCCATGGCGCAGCACCCCCATATATATATTGGGGATTTACTGAGAACTTTTGGAGGTGTGATAAGTCATTATTTTTACTCTTATTTGGTTTGTGTCCTCATTGCACGTCATGATAGAGGACTGAAAGTTTTATCACATGCGTCCTATCATAGACCCAATATATCTTCCAAATATCAGCTCGTTTGGATGTTTCTGGGCCGAAATCGACTTTTGAGAGAGGAGGGGACCCTTATGTTAAAGTGGTACCTTTACTGAATACCCAGCCAGACTGGACTGCTGCGTCTCCAGTACGAGTCGTCATTTTTAATTACCGAAAACGCGGATCTTTGATGCGAAATATCAGGAATTGGTGCATTGTTGGTCCCAGTTCTAATCAATTTTAGTCAATTCCAAGTCAACAATCATGGTTTGAATTGGTTGAATTCGGAATTAGTTCATGCCTAATTATATTTCTGATACCTCTATAGCTATATCCTCATTCGTCTACATTAGTAATACTTCTATGACTGCAGTCTTATACCTCTAATAGCTTTATGGCTATAACCTTATACGTCTATATTAACAATACGTCTTTGGCTGTAGCCTTATACTTCCAATTGCTCTATAGCTATAAACTGATACGTCAATATCACTAATCCCTCTATGGCTATAATCCGATACGTCTATATTACTAATCTCTCTATAGTTATAGCCTTATATCTCTATAGCGTCATGAATATGTGGATGCTAATGATCACTCTTCTTTCGATCTTGCCGCAAATTCAAATTTTGCATCAATTCTAAAAGAACTGAACCTTGAACAAAATACTTGTTTATGTGTTGTTTTAAAAGGATATAAATTTTCGTTTATTTAGATAAATATTAGGGTGAGGGTGTGGGTGTCATGTCTAAACACAACTCACACCCACACCCGAACTTAACCGATCTCGAACCGCTCGTTTTAAAATTTAGTCGAACCGATTGTTTTTAAACATAGTCGAACCGAACTGAACTCGAGCCCACTTTTTAAAGACATACTCGAACCGAACCGAACCGAACCCGAACCAATTTTTTAAAAATTTAGTCGAACCGAACCGAACTTGAACCTGTAAAAGTTGGTTCGATTCGGTCTCTGTTGTACATCCAATATAAGTTGGTTAGTTCATGATCTTCTATTTTCCACTTTTTGGAAAAGTTAATCGTTACTAACTAGTTAGACTAACTACTATCTGAAACAGTTAGCAGTTAGTACTAATTTAACTTAAATGTGACACTTCTAGTACTTACATCTCACTAATAGAAGTGAGCGATTTCTTTGTCTACTTTTGCTGTACGAGAAAACTTCAGGTATTAGTACAGAATTCAAAACAATTTGTCGCGAAGCGAAATTTTTTGCAGCATCCTGAAAAATGCAACATTGCCTTACTATCTTTTTGAAAAGAAAAGTTTCCTATTTATAGCACAAAATTTTATGGGATGTGGGTGTGGGTGGTGTGGATGTGGTGGATGTGGGTGTGGGTGTGTGGATGTGGGTGTAGGTGGGTGTGTGGGTCTGGGTGGGTGTGGGTGTGGGAACCGAAAGAAGATAACACCGACACCCACACCCCACACCCCACACCCACGCCCCACACCGCACACCCACATCCACACACCCACACCTACAATATTTCTCAATCATACATAAGGATCGTAACGTTGCTTGCATGAGCAGCATAGATACGATTAAATGGAAAATCACAGCTATGGTGAGTAATTTACTTGTTTGCCTCTCTATTTTCTCATCTAAAAAGCCGTTTTTCCGAATTATCTTTCAGAATCTGACTCTCAATACTCTGATAAACTCTTGATTTAATACCAATGGTTACCGTTTGATATGTTATTAATCAAATTGATATTGATTAATACAAGTGCAGTATATGAATTACAAATCCAAGATTCCAAGTTATTTCGAGAGGATCGAAACAAATAAAGAAATTTCGACTTTCGAAAGATCACCAGTATCATGCATCTATTTCTTCGCTGCTTTTCCTAGACAAGCATATGCTTATCCTAATGTCTTTAGGTAAACGCATTGAAAAAAATGTGTCATTTGTTATAGCGTCTCGTACTCTATCAAAAAGACATACTGTAGTCAGAATATGTCGTATCATGATTGGGTGTGGATGTGGGTTTGAGGTGATGAATGTGGGTATGGTTGCCAGTGCGACTGTGTATTAGAAGCAGATACTCACACATGCGCCCACATGCACACGCCACACCCGCTCTCTCCCATTCACAGACACAAAAGCATGTGGCCATTAGATAGAGAAATCCGTTCGACGTCGATATATGGAATACTGGTCTCTGCAGCTTTAACCTTTCGACAGTAATGAGTGTTCTCATGAAGATCAATGATTTTGATTCTTTCAACATAGATCACTTCGAAATAGCTCAACGTTGGCGTAATTTACCACATTCGATTGAGTGACCGTTTTGGCTTATGGCTTGGAAGTGATGTGATTTCTCGATAGTAAAATCCGAAAGACATTTCACTTAAGAGAACAGTTTATTCAAAATTTTTTCTTAGGAATTTCAGCTGAATTAAAGGAAAAGAGTCTTGATCATAAATCATTTGTCAATCGTACGAAGAAATATAGCATTTAGTTGTCCGAGATAGCAAGCTTAAAGAATATTGACAACATAACAATTACAAACATTTTAAAATCATTGATGATAAGAGTGACGCAACAGTCATGATTATCATAGTCCTATAATATCAAGTACAAACTGCAATCAATATGTTTCAATTTACATACTTGTGCATTATCAAGTCTAATAAATATTTTAAAAATGATCATCGATAGTTTATAAAAATAAAAACTCAAAATAATATATTCAGCGTACCTGTTGATGTCGACGAACATGTAGTATTATCAATCAGAGCAAACTTTTGAACACGATGATTGTTAATATCGGTGACGAAAAGATTACCTTCACTATCGAATGTCAATGCCACTGGTATCATCATTTGAGTATTTGGATTGTCATTATCTATTGTTATACATAAATATAAACTTGATAATATATCAAATACTCCTCTATCTGTATATTTTTGTCTCAGATTATTTCAAAACAATATTATCGGATAATATCTGAAAGTGCTAAAAGCTCTTGATGAAAGATGTGACTCCGTGTAAGTACAATACTATCATGAAAATTTCGGCTACTGCTCTGTTTTTGATGAGAAAAACATTAAAAGCATACCAAATCCACCAACAATCGTATCACCCTTCAGCGCTCCTGGAAGCCAACGTTGAATTCGTCTATTGTATGTATCGGCGATATATAACACACCAGTTTCGGTGTCAACAAAAATATCTACAGGGTTGTTTAACAATGCAGCATCATACCCATAACTACCATTGCTTGAACCAGCTACTGTGATCCCTTCTTGTGCATTTTTCGACCATTTCTGGATACGATTGTTCCAGGTATCAGCTACATATACTGCGTCACTCATTTGATCTACAAAGATGCCGTTAGGGCCACAGAAATGTTTGCTCGTTGAATTACATTCTTTTGGTATACCAGCAATGACTACAGTGTCATTCATTCGTGGCGACTCTTTACGCAATATGTGTAATACCCAATCTATGTGTTACAGTCACATGTATCACTCCTTGACTCATCGGTATTTGTTTATTCATTTCGCATTCTTTGATGCTTTATTTCTCTCTATATATCTCTCCCTATACTTGGTGAAGGGGGGACAATCTGGAAATAAACGAACATCGAGAAGATACAGGGAAACCTCTAATATTTGGTGCCGTGACGGGCTTTCTTTGTGTGCTTTACTCCAAGAAAGTGAACCATTGTATTCATTCGTTGGTATTGTCGTCGCAATTCTCAGATTCAAGGCATAGCACATATCAGCAACCAACAAACAATATGTCACAACGTTTCGATCAATTGGATACTGTTTGCTTTGACTGTATTTACATGCATACGTACAAGATCAATCCGTGTTCGCATACCGTTTGTATCACTTGCTTTAATGCAGCAATTACCAAAAAGATTCGGTTACAGCAAGAAACGTTTATTTGTCCCCGATGTGCTGACTTACACGATCGTCGAAATCTTCTTGAACAGCTTACCGAACAGAATCCTTATCATCAAAACCGTAAAGCTGCACCTGCCATATCACGAAAACAACTTTCGACCCTTTCGTTGATTTTACAGTATGATTGTAGAAATATCGCTCCACGAATCGATGAGGCACTTAAAGACATTACTGACTTAAACGAACGAAAAAGAGTCCAAAAAGTTTTATGGAAAAACTGGTTTCTGTTCATTCAACCAGTCGAAACAAAAAAAGTTGACAAATTGCTTCGACGACAACGCAGTCAATATGAATATCATCACTGTCACAAAGGTGCCTACATTAAATCCAAAGAAATTTTTTCCGATACTGAACAGCTACAAGACACTGTTGTAATCACAGCTGAAGCTGAATCGAACTCACTGTGGCCTGACGGAACCGAATCATGGCATATACATGAAATAAAATCGCAACGACAATTGTTCATCGAACAAGCTCCTCAAGAAAATCTATCAATTCAACAGAAAAATATCGAAACTGGATCTGATGTATTTTGGCCCGTAGGCACTGAATCGTGGCATGTTCACGATATAAAACCACAACGATCAATATTTACCGAGAAATTTAGTTCTGAACACTCTTACGTTCCAAATCCAATTGAACTTGAGAACAAAAGCTCCGATCTCAAGCAATTGCTTGAATACGAACAAAGCTTTTTCTGTGATCGACAATCACAATACGCTATTCTACCTGAAAATCAACACTCACTGCCAGAACCGGCATTCAAACCGAATCGTTGCTGTGAATCGAAATTTCAAATTCAAGAACAGATTCTATTGTTTTCACCTCTTCATAAGCCATGCACACGATCTAATTATTGCGTTCGTGGTCGATCAACAAATTTCAATTTTTTGCAATCACTTCTATCAAATAATCTGTCGAGTCCGACGAAAATGCGGCCGAGCCTATTTTCAAATAGAAAATCGAGTTCTCACAGTAATAAAATACGTTTCACTGTATTAACACAATTTCTGCAACTTACGATCGAATATTTCGTTTATCTTGTAATTTTTTTATTATCGATACTCATCCAGACGGGATTCCTATATACTTCGACGAATAACACCTCGACTTGTATTACCAGCGGTACTTTTGCTTCTGGATTAATATTTGCAAGTAGTACAATATTAGCTACTGGTTCTAAACATCATTTCAAAACTTCAATCACATTCATTAAAACCATTGCATTACTTCGTAATCTGGAGTCGCTTTTACTATATGATATTACGTAACACAATGATGCTATTTGAAACTAATTTTTTCTGACTTTTTCCATTCGATATCAAATTGACAATTATTTCTATGACTACATCGAAGAAAACTCGCAAGATTACAGATGAAAACATTTTCATTTCTTTTTTCTCCAGTCGTGTCAATTGTACATCTTTCACAATCGAAGACTTTAAAAATTTATATCAACAATCGTGAATTTTAACGCAAATTCTCTTCGTCGAATCGTTTTTTTTTTCGCTCCTCAAATGGAACTCGTTGTGCAAATGGTGCCTAAACATTGTTCTCAATATCGTTTCGTAGATTTCAAAACGAGCTCGTAAAGCTGAGTCGTCATACACATCGTATTCGCCCTTACTTGTTTTTTTTATTTCTTTTCGCTTTTCATAATGCTATTATACTGTCGTTTCTTCTCTTTCTTTTATTCTTTTTCTCCTCGTATCGGCATTCGTACAACTGTTTTTCTCTCTTTTTTCTTTTTCTTTTTCTCTACTCATCATCTTATCCGTTTGTTTCAATTTCGCTGATGTTCGTTTTAATGTGCGTGGACCCACATTTCTGTTGGTGGGGAGGTATGTTACAGTCACATGTATCACTCCTTGACTCATCGGTATTTGTTTATTCATTTCGCATTCTTTGATGCTTTATTTCTCTCTATATATCTCTCCCTATACTTGGTGAAGGGGGGACAATCTGGAAATAAACGAACATCGAGAAGATACAGGGAAACCTCTAATACTATGAAAAAAACCTTTTTTTCTTTGTTAATTGAAATTCCCTGACAAATACTCCCTTTATCACCTAATGGTACACCAGATGATGCACCTAAGACCCATTGGATGCCACAATATAATGAATAGATCCCTGTGGCATAGATGGTAGAGCCATTTTCATCCTCGTCGACATAGATTCGCCTAGGATACCGTAAGTTAGGTATTAAAATAGTGCTGACGTTCGACGATTGATTGAGTAAAACACTCTGAATTCGAGAATTATACGAATCAGCGACATATAATGTATTAGTTGATTTATGAAAAAAAAGGCCTTCTGGAAGGTAAAGTTGATTGGAGCCATTTCCAGCCACACCCGTTCCGATTACATTAGTCCCTACCATGTTCCATCGTGCACAAGGACTTATTGCTGACATGGAGTATTGCACGATAGTAACTATGAACACAAATAACAAGTTTTTTCTTTCCTTATTGCTAAACTTACTCATCAATGTAAGAACGAAATACATTTTGATAGATGAAGAATACAATAAGCAACAGAATGACGAATATGCAGAATGTACAGGTATCCTTCAAATATATAGCACATGAATGGTGTAGACAAACAGAGATAAGATGCTCGCATTTGTTTCAATTTTACTTTCGCTACTTCGAAACCAACAATACACGACAATCATTTACCTTGACATCAAACTCCTACTAACATTTTTATTCATCGCAACATCAAGATCAAAAATGAGTAATATCATGTGTCTGCTGTGACATATACATTTGCGAACAACTTACTGTGCGTATCGAGGTGTGGGTGTGTGAGTGTGTGATGAAAGTGTGAATGAATATGAGAAACGCCCAGACCCATGCCCGATAATTGATAGTAAGAAATTTAAAACTAAAACGAATCACCATCCCGATAGATTGAGTATAAACATTTCAGAAAGTGCTTCAATGATAATTCACATTCTGCATAATTAGAAACTACCAATGTGTCTGAACACTTATTTCAGTTTTTCTCTTATCGATACGTTGAAAATTATGTGTGAAGAAGATATACTCCAGGACCTATATATGCCTGCAACTTTTCGTCTCAACCAAATCCATTCCCATATTCACACCATCAAAAAATAAAATAGTTTTTAACATGAAATAAAAGTATATTCGTATTGTAAACCACTTCTTTAATAGAAAGAGAACCCAATTCTCAGAACTCAATTGCTGTTAATCGTAGACATTTTGAACAAGGTAAATTTATTTTAAATTAAATTCTATCTGTTTCAACAGTTTTCGGATCTGAAGTGAATGTATTGAAAAATAAATAGAAATACAATTTGGTTTACTGGATCCTTTTTTTATGATGCGGTAGCCAAAAATTAATATAACGGTGATGAAAGGTCTCAGCGTTTCAAATATGAGAAGATATTCAGCAATGAACTCTTCAAACATCGAATATTCCGTATATCATGCTAAATCGAGTTATATTTTATTCTACTAATATATGGTTCTTTTATTTAACAAATATTATAAAATTTCATATAGTTAGAATAAAAATCCGATCGTTCTAGCTAATTAGAATAAGTATAAAAGCTTCTGTTATACTCACTAATTCACTTCCAAAGCAACAAAGAAATGGATATAGCTACTTTGCTGGCTATTTCAGTTATTTTAAGAATACCGTATTTTCTTATATCAATAGTATTTTTTTTCAATTAAAACAAAAGACCGCACTGGAATGCATAATCATTAGTAACTGACAAAAAGGAATCAATAAGTCTCCAGCATTTTTGGCTGCACGATTAAACAGTCAAATGATACTTCCTTTTTTTTTCTCTCTGAAATAAATAAGTTACCAGAGTGTGAATATTGCTTTGGGAATCATTGATACAAAAAGGTTTTAACAGTAGTGCAAACATTCGTCTTACAATTTTTTAAGAGCCTATAAAATGTATATCATACTATGCAAATTTCGCAATCCTTATAAAAGTATTACACAAAGCGAAACCAAACAAACAGTTTTTAGATCTTGTTTCTATTAGCTTAGTGAAATCCACGCTAGTATGCGCCAGAATTCTGTTGGAGTCAAACTGATAAATATCTTGACAAAATCTCTGTAGTATTGTTTTAATCAACGTTTTCATAGGTGACATTATTATATTTTGGAAAACGTCAAGTTCAAATAATAGTAAAGAGAAACATAGAACTAACACGTTTTATGACAACCTGGACCCAATAATTCAGATAGGGTAGCAAAGAAACCAGTAGACGAAGAACCACCAGTTATAGCTACTATAAGCTCTTCTTTATTATATCATGTCTTTTAGAAACAATTTGATAGTGAGATATCTACTTTTTCATTGTTTTTTTCTTATGAAAAGAATAAGATCAAAGAGAAAGAAGCGCTCGAAAAAAACACTCATTGGTTTTGCTAGAACCGCTGGTGAGTAGTAGATGTAAGCATTCTGGAAAAAATTGTCAAAGGTCATTATGGTAAATTTTGCTTTTGAGAATCACAAATGATTGAAATACTCTCCAGTAGATTATCTGCAGCAAAAATAGCTGGGGCGTTCGCTTTACCAACATTTTCTCGCTGAACGTTCGCTTTATCTGCCATACGGATAAAGCGAACACCTAGTATATTTTTAAAAAAATCAATAAAAAATCGAAAATACATTCAATTGAGCTGAACCGCAGGAATTAGATAGAGTTCAAGACAAGGAATTGAATCATGTCATTTAAAAAAAAATTTTGAAATTTTTAAGCAGGAGTACTTAAATTCGCTACTCAATGACATTTTTGCTTGTTCTCCTCTGGAGTGTTCGCTTTACCAGCAATATTTTTGCTGAGCGTTCGCTTTACCAACATGACGGATAAAGCGAACGTTTTAGGTGTGTCATTTTATACCGCTAATTACTCAATCATGAGAGCATCTAGAATCTTTTTTTTCATATGAGTAGATAGAGAAATCATTTCTCTTTCCAACTACATAAAAAGAAAAATTTTACTCCTTAAAGTGACTGAGATATACAAGATAGAACAAAGGCACCCTCGAAAAGCGTTCGCTTTACCAACATTGACTCTATCTGTATTGTGAGTAAGCAATGATGAAGAAGCATACGTTAGTATAGAGAAGAAAAAAAAAACACTTTTTAGGAAAAAATGGCAATGGGAACATTGTATTCTACATTTTGATTCCATAAAGATTGCATTAATAGCTTTTTGCCATTAAAATCATATTATTTACACATTGCTAGAACGATAAAAATGAACTTCATCTGTCGCCATAATACATAATTGACGAAAGATAATTTTTATCATGTAAATTATATGGAAAAGAGATGAGATTTCTCAGCATGTCTTACATCACAATGTGAATATAAAATTACAATGCACTTCTCCTCCGAAGTGAAGAAACTGCGTAGTTGTAGTTCCAAGTAATAACTGTTCATTGCTGAAAAAAATCTCTTTTTCTGTCTCACAAAGCAGAAAATATCAAAAATATACTTATGTGTACGGAAACTTCTTCAAGTACCTGTGTTGTTAGTAAATATGGATACTTTTATAGATATCATAGTTTTTATCATAACTTTAACAGCAGCTGCTGTAGCTGTCAGCAATTATTACAAGGATATAAAAATCTGTCGTATTCTTGTTACACATAACATTCTCTTTTCCATTATACAATGATAAGAAGAGAAGGTTTATGAATTAGTTGGAATCTAATCAATCATGAACAGTCTACAATTACTGATATTTCTATTATCATTGAATCTACTTGATACTCAATATCTTCTTTATGATACCAATGATCGATCAATCTTTAAATCAATCTTTGACTGTCTTTACGCTCATATGATAGATTATGACAACTACGTTGATTTTCCTTATAGAACGATAAATCAGATTATTCCATATTGTCGAAGACTAGATCAAAATGAAGCACCGGATGATTTATCAAATGTTTCACAGAGTAATATAAACAATATCATTACATTTGAAGAATTATATAAACAAGGTGTAACAAGTGCACAACTACTTCACTGGTCAGCACCAATTAATATCGCTGAAGAGTATGAAATAAACGGTGCCAATTCAGCAAAGGTTTTTTATAATTGTTCATCACCTTGGTTTGGTTCAAAATGTCAATACAGTTTCAATAACAATGTCGGAGCATCTTTTCATGATATTGTTCGACTAGAGTTTTCCACTCGCTCTTCTAACGGGATTAAGGTGGAATATCTCAACGCTACATGTTACTCTTTTCTAAATAATTGTATTAGTAATGCACCAATAACGTGTATTGACTGGCGCATGATTTGTGATGGAAAATTTGATTGTATCAATGGAAAGGATGAAGAAAATTGTCAAATGTTGGAAATGAATGAGTGCCCTGATGACACATATCGATGTCATTTTGGTGGACAATGCATTCCATTGGCATTTATACTAGATGGACCTAACACCGCTGATTGTCTTGACGGTACTGACGAGATGCAGTTGAATGAGGAAAACACTTATCGTTTCAGTAGTAACTGCTTTAGGATACCAACATTTCGATGCGAAGAACGTACTGGACCATACCAACGTTCTTTACCATGCGGTGATGGCCAATACTTTCTTAGTGATATTATACATACCCTATTATTCTGCGCCAACCTTCGGCAATGGTTAGAACATAAACATCGACTGCTAGTTTGGAGCCCAATTGTATTCGAGATTCCAGAAGAAATATTCAACTCAACATTGGCCTCCAGTGTGTTGTATCTACAGCCAATACTAAATCAATCAGCCTCAATATATAGTATGATGTCATGTGCAGCTACAAACAAAACATGTTTATCGAAATGGATTTTTAAAGCTAAATTTTTCTTTACTTTTTGGAAGTTTCACTTTGTTTACTTACCTCATCGATTAGTGGAAGACTTAATCGCCCTGACATATCCTGATTTTATTTGCTTCTATGTTCAAGACTGTCCAACATTCGCCAATTGTGTCATAGATATAGGATTAGATGATGGTCTAGTATGCTGTCCTTCTTCGAAATTAATGGGCACATCATTTACTGACCAGGTCGATCTCATTAGCACTATAAAAAATCTATTTTTTCGTTGCTCCACCACAGGTGTAGAGCAATCATGTTCACATCCATCACTTTTTCATTGCCCACTTTCATTAAAATGCATTTCAAAACATCGTCTGCTTGACGGTATATCCGATTGCTACTTTGGTGAAGATGAAGCGTTTCATGCGTGTCATCTGAACGATTCACGACGATTTATTTGTGAATCAGAACCAGACAAATGTTTATCGCCAATGTTACTGCAGAATGGCAACAAAGATTGTAAAGGTGGTGAAGATGAAATGACTGAAAATCAACATGATATGTTAAAAGGAATCGTTTCATTCGGTTTGATATGTAATCGCAATAATGAACAATTATTATCAGAATTTAATGATACCGACGAAACGAACTGTGAGTATTGGCCATGCAATAATATTTATACTCAATGTGATCATGTCAAAGATTGTGCTGACGGTGTTGATGAATTAAATTGTCCCATTATAAAATGCGAATCACATGATGATGGAGTACGCAATACGCTATTGTCTGACCAAATTTGTTATTCGTTAATGGTTTTAATGGAAGAAAATTTAAATTGTAATATTCTTTACACAGAATATGCAATGTCTTTTAATACTACGATTAACAACAAGACAACAAGTTCCTCAAGTACCGAATCATGTCTACACGCAAGTAACGTATGTATTATATCTAATCATCTATATGGGAGTCATGGACTGCTTTTCGTTGGACCGAGCATATTTTTATTTTCAACAGTAGCAAAATACTGGCTGTCACAAATTAAAAAACATATTTGCCCTATTACAAGAGAGCCTTACCAAAGACTTGAAATCACAGAATGGACTTTTAAATCGTCGCAGTTGGGATATTTCCCACCAGAATTAGCTATGGTATCTAAACGAAATAGTTCCATGATTAAAAAAGAATCATTAATCAATTTACAACCCGACGATATAACAATGTGGTATTGTAATCGAGGAATTCGCATTCTTTTTAATGATCAAAATACAAAGAAATGTTTGTGTCCACCAAGTTATTTCGGCGATCGATGTCAATGGCAAAATCAACGAATAAGTTTAACACTGCAGTTAGTGTATCGTACTGATACTTACATTATGACAGCTTTTCAAGTGGTTGTCATGCTTATTGATGAAGAAAGTCAAAGCGTATTATATCATGAACAAATCACGTTTGTACCGAAACGTAATTGTGGCACAAAATATAACCTTTATTTACTGTATCCAAATCAACCAAAAAATTCTTCTACAAGCTATTCGATACATATTGATTTGCTTGATAAATTGACATTAAGCTATTTGGGAAAATGGCATCTTTCTATTCCATTTCAATTTCTACCAGTTAATCGAATTGCTGCTCAACTATTTATTCCAAATTCAAAAGTAATTTCGAAATCATGTCCTTTATTTTGCGGCAAACATGGTCGATGTGTACAATACATGAATGGAAACTTCTCATACTTCTGTCAATGTGATGAAGGATATTCGGGTTCACAATGTAACATTCAACACAATTGTTCTTGTTCACTGGATTCATATTGTCTTAGCTCGTCAATTTGTGTTTGTCCACTACACAAATTTGGTTCAATGTGTTATTTAAAAAATTCAATTTGTCAAATCCCTAATAATCCGTGTCAAAATAACGGAATCTGCATACCTCATGATGATCGTATGGGTTTGAAGAGTTTTACATGTTTGTGTGCGGAAAATTTCTTCGGAACAAGATGTGAAAATTTCAAAAATCGAATTGATATTACATTTAATGATGAAAATATTGGTATGATGCCAATTATTTGGGTACATTTTATTACTTCAATTGAAAATGGTGGTCATCAACGTAATACATTATTAAAAAAGATAAAATTTGCACAAAATCTAATTAGTGCTTTTACGACCGATCCATTTCATGCTATTTTTATTGAATTAACTAATCGGACCTATTATTTAGTTGTATTAAGGGAAATATTTATCGAATCGGAATATATTCAAACGAGAATCTTATCGAATTACCGATGTGCATCTATATACGAACTAATGAATAGTACATTTTCAAATTATTATTTACTTCGTCGTATTAAATATTATCCTTATTTATGTCAACAAAAAGAACAAATGAAGTGTTTCTATGATGAAATATACATGTGTATATGTGATGTTAATCGATTTTCCAATTGTTTTACATTCAATCATACTATATCACATGATTGTCAAGGAGAAAATATTTGCGAAAACAATGGCCTATGCTTTCAAGATACTCTTAAATGTCCTCTTTTATCGATTTGTGTGTGTCCCGCATGTTATTATGGTACAAAATGTCAGTTTTCTACAAGAGGTTTTGCATTATCCCTTGATTATATTCTCGGTTATAATATTAAACCAAATATTTCAATTCATCGACAGCCATTCGTTATTAAAATAAGTATTGCCATTGTAGTAGTTATGTTTATTTTAGGACTAATCAATGGAATCTCATCTATTGTAACATTTCAAAGCAAAAAAATAAGAAAAAATGGTTGTAGTATCTATCTACTTGTTTCATCATGGAATTCCTTGTGTCTAAGTATTGTATTGATAATCAAATTTTGGCAATTACTTTTATCACAAATTTCAATTATTAGCGATCGATTATTCCTTACATGGAATTGTATATTATTAGATATGACTCTCAAAGTTCTTGTAGCATCAAATGATTGGTTTTATGCTTGTATTGCTCTCGAACGAGTATTTACCGTTATCCAAGGTGTTAATTTCAATCAACTTAAAAGCAAGAAAGTAGCTAAATGGGTTTTTTCATGTATATATCTGGTAACAATTCTTACTCATATTCAAGATCCTTTTCATCGTCGTTTGATTGATGATATTGACGTTGATGAACAACGAACTTGGTGTATAGCTCAATATTCTTATGCATTAAATATTTTCAATATGTTAATTGCACTTTTTCATTTTGTTGTTCCTTTCTCAGTGAATATAATTTCTACCATATTAACAATTAAGCACATAGCTCTCTCTCGTTGGCAAACTCAAACTGCAATACCATTCGTCGTACATCTACGACGACATTTTAATCACCACAGACATCATCTATTCGCATCATGTGCATTAATATTATTGGCTTTACCTCGTCTCATCATATCATTTATCAGTGGATGTATGAAATCGCCAAGAAACCCATGGTTATATCTCTTTGGTTATTTTATTTCTTTTACTCCATCCATGGTTACATTTATTGTATTTATATTACCATCAGAGCAATACAAAAATGAATTTACGGCCGCTACTCAACATATTATTCAACGATTTCGCACGTGCTTTGGCATAAGAAATCATAATAATAATTAGACATTTTGTCAATATATTTTGCGACTATGAACTTACAAATTATTCTCATTGAGGGTGTGGGTGTGGATGGGTGTGGGGTGTGGGTGTAGGTGTGGGCGTGGGAATGAGTGTGAGTGTTGATGTGGGTGTGTAAAGAGAAGATTCTAATCCACACCCACACGCACATCCACACCTACACTTACACCCACCCACATCCACACCCTAGTTTAATTTTGTGAAATGGTGATTTGTTGGAATAGCGCGAAACTTCTTGGTATAACGAAAAATAAGAATACAAAGAGAACATCAGAATATTGCGGTGTTGTTTCTTCCTAGCTAAAAGCATCATATTTGGAAAATTGCTTCTTTTTGAAAGGCTGTGGAATGGAGGACTAAAGAACTAATTGATGGTATTGGTTTTGAATTGAAGATATTAAGAAAGAATCTGATTTGAAAAATATAAAACTATAAATCTGCAATAGTATCCTACATGCAGGCCTAGCAGCGGTGCTATCATGATTTTTTCCTGGTTTTTTTTAGTAGCATCCGGATTTTACTTCATATATATATATCTTTTCAAGACAGAATATTTTTGTATAGGTTAAAATCACACTTTACAATCCATGTTTTCAATGAAATGTTCCACATGAGAGGATTACTTATTTAGAAACTTGTTTATATTCCAAATGCTCAGTTGTATAAAAATCAAGTTTATTCGGTATGCTTTTTGGAAAGATCAAAAATGAATAAAATAAACTGTTTAGCAATCCTGTTGTTATAAATGAGACAGATGAGTTTTCAGAGAAAATGAATGTGTACATAACGAGTATGGCAGATTAAATGACCATGTTTACATTTTATTTTTTCATCACTTAATAGGTTGTATTAAAAAAAAACAAAACATATCAAAAGGTGCAACGTGAAAAGTTCCACAATCTACAAAGTAAGGCTTGTTTTAATTGTGTAATTTTTGGTTCAAATAAAGCATAACTCTGTGCAATTAGTTTTTGGACACTGTAGAAGTGATTACACAGAATTTTGCTTATTTTGAAAACAAAAAAGTATATAATTAAAATAAACTTTACTTTGTAGATTGTAGAGCTTTTCACGCTGCATCTTGTGGTATATTTTGTTTTTTAATAAAACATATTTAGAGATTAAAATATAAAAATGCAGAGCACGGCCATTTAATCTGCCGCAGTCGTTATTTAAATATTAAAAATGACTTCGAATAGAGTAAAGTTAGTCTGTTTTTTTTTGTCTTGCAATGATCTCGGCAGCACTCTTTTTTCTATTATCCATCCGTGTCTTTCGTATTTACTAGATTCGGATGACATTCACATTGCTTAATACATGCTCACACATTGAGAAAATATTTCTTTCGTTCTTTCTTTTCTTTTTTAACATGGCAACACAGAAAGACAAGAAAAAAAGTAAACGCCTACAAACGTCACAAATATAAGCATACTCAAAAAAAAAAGAAAGAAACAAACATGTTTTTCACACTTTCTCTCGAACATTTATTCGTTTTCTATGACATCTTTCATATATTCATTGATATTCTTTTTCTCATTATATACAATTTATACTAAATTATCTACTCGCTCCATTCGTTCTCTGTTCACGGTAAGGATAAAATGGACACACACATATGCACATATATAAAAAGAAATGAATAATATTGAATATGCATGTAATATGTATAACATTGAGTATGATGATGTATTTATTTGTGCATCAAACTTCGATAGTAAAGTTGTAGAGTTGAGAACACAAGTACAATCATTTCTTAAAGTTAGAATATGAGCAATGTATTGATTTTAGTTTAGTTGAGCTGATCTTAGCGCTAAATTGTTTATTTTCCTCGATGTAGTTTTCAAAACTTGACAATCGAATAGATGAAGTTTTTCATATGAGGTCATAAGAAGTGTTTATGAAACGTTGTAGATACACTGATAAATGACTGATGAATTAAAATTAGTTGAGTATAGATTGCGCATAGCATATACGACTTGAAAAAGTATATATCTAATTTACAAGCATCATAGACTCTGATCGATTGAAATATTTCTACAACAATATAGAAATTTTTGTTATATCACAATATAAAGATTAACGACGAATAAAAATCTCATACCATTTTGGAACAAAGTTTCTTGCTTTAAAAGTCAATCACCAATCGTAAGTTGTGTATTCCTTTTTCAAATTTCTATTCTTTGTTAGCCTTTATATTTGAATATAACAGAAATTTTTTTACTATCGCAGAAATATTTCTCAATTCATCAGAGTCTATGATGTTTATAGCTTGAATACTCTGTGAACTATAAGAACATAGTAATATCAAATAAACAATGCTTGTTACTTTTTTTAATGAAACCCGTCCGGAAACTTTTGAATATCCATCACTTTTTATTCGACTATGTAGATTGCATTTTTGAAATAAAATACCTGTCCAGAGTTATAATTAACGTCATTAAGTAGCAGGAAAATAAGCTCATACTTCACTGTTTTGTCACATCAAATTAATATTCATCAAACCTGTAAAAATATTTCATATGACCCCAAAAACACGTTTAAATGACAAGAGCGACGTTAACTTCAATCATTTAAACATCGAAAATGTGTTAAAAATTAATTATTTTTAAACTATAATTAACATATTTTTGAAGACATCAAATGTTTTTAACAGTTTACAGTGAACATGTTTAAATACTGTTTTACCCGTTTGCATGTTTTCCTAGGTTATAGTTCTTTCCTTCAACATTTTGTATTGTACATGTAAACGTATAATTTCAACTTGAAAGTTGAATAGATGAAAATTTGACAAAAATTTAAAATTCGAATCGACTTTTCGACTTCTACGCTACTGCTCACAAAATATTCTCATATCCAATAATCTTCAAAATCTATTGTCATATTCACTAAATAAGAGAGAAAAAATTACACTGATTTATTTATTAAATCTAAATTTCAGTTTGATTGTAGATGGATGATATTGATAATGATATTCTATTTGAATTTGAAAGTTATGAAGAATTTCGGCAAGAACGATTGAAATTAAATGCAGAAAGTACATTAAAATTATGGTATTCATTGCCTTTCAATCTAACAAATATTGATAATAAATTATTCAAACAACAAACATTAAAACAACAGAGAAAACGATTAAGAAATTTGAAATTTTTTGCAATTTACTCTATGTTTTTAAAAAAAACATTTCTCAAAAATAGAATTCGTTCCAAAGGTAAAAAAGAAAAGAACTAGAGATTTTATTTTCTACACAACATTAGTTTTATTATCAATAGGTTTTCAACTTTTTAATAAAACATTTAATATTCCTTCATTAAACGATCCATGCCTTTATCAAATATATGAATCACTCGGACGCATTACTAATCAATTTCTTAATAGAGGTAAAGAATATGATTCGAAAATAAATTATCAAGAATTATATAAAGCTGGTCGCACTGTTTGGTTTATGATCGCTTTTCAAGTTCAACTCAATTTACCTTTAGTTTTAACAGATTCAATATTTGGTTATAATATGCTTTATCCGTATACTGATGATTTTATTGATTCAAATCAAGTATCAAAAGAAACAAAGATCGAATTCAAAAAAATCTTTCATGATATATTACTTCATGGTCAATCTACATATAATCCTAATGCATATTTTCGTGAAAAACAATCGAATGTTAATCATTTAAACATAGAAATACATGCAGATAGATTAGAAAAAATCTTTGATATGGTCAAATTTATTGAGAATGATTGGAAACGTGATGAAAAAAATCGAGGAGTTTATATGTCTTTAGCTACTATTCATGAATCACAAATGAAATCAATATTACAACATGCAAATATAGAAGATGGATATCAACCAACAATGACATTTATTGAACAAATTAGTGCGGAAAAAGGTGGAGCATCTTTAATTGCAGCGGCATTTTTGATAGAAGGACAATTGACAAGAGCTAAAATGGCATATTTAGAATATCTTGGATTTGCTTTTCAACTGCTTGATGATTTACAAGTAAATTATATTAATTGTTTTTTTTATTATTAAACTTATATTAAAAATCAAACTTTTAGGATTTTCATGAAGATATGAAAAATAATCATCGAACAATTTTTACTCAAACTTTTCTCGATGGAAAAACATTAGATGAACCCACAGGTCGTCTTATTCAATATTGTTATTCTTCGCCTGCTTTTAAAATATTTCCTAATGATCAACATACAATATCAGATTCAAAAAATCAATATACATTAGCTCATTATGTGAGAATTTCGATGATGATGTTTGCAATAATACTCATTTTAGAAGCAGCTTCACAATTAAAAAAATATTATTCAAAACAATTTTATCAAGATTTATCTACACTAAGTCCAATCCCATTTGATCAACTTAAAACTATTTCTGTAGAAGAAAAAATATGGGCTATTGTACAAAATCAATGGTTTTAACATTTATTAAACGAAAATGTTTTTATCTTTCATTCTTTAATTTTCAAATATATTAAATCAAGACAAAATACAAAGACAATGCTCTTTTAGACTAGATTTTATTATCTTATTTCAAAGTGAATTAGTCATTCGATGACTATCGAAGTTTTATATCGAGTCTTCAAATTATCACTCTGAGAGTAAGTCGATGATGAATTTCCAAACACTCGAACGATTTCTACCGACCAGATCAGAAAAAAAAATTTTTATTTTCAAGATGTTCTTATTTCGAGTCTTTAAAACCTATCGAATATATGCAAAGAAGTAGACTAGAGCATGGATACTCCAGATTGATTCTCGTCAAACAGTTGATCTAAATATAAACTGTATTTTACTCAAAAACACGAATAAATTTCTATTCTGGTTTTAATTAGTGACTACATTTGAAGCTATCTTTCTGATAGGTTAATCCTAAAAAGATTTTCTCACATAGGAAATACTTCAAATATTCAGTAATTACTTTAAGTTTTGTTGATTTCTCCTCATCCTAGTAAATTTGCTAGGCAAAGTCTTAT